CTGGAGCACTCCTGCTGAAAGCCTCCTCACTCCACCCAGCAGCAAAACCTGGAGTATTGCTGGAAACTACTGCAATTACTGCCAGGAATTTATGGAAACAGCAAAACAACAGCCTGACGTGAAAACTGATTGTGCTGGAAAATGTGGAGGCAAAACGTCTGAAGGGTCTCCCACTGATCTCCAACCCTGCTATTCTGTACATCAATACATCACATACATACAATTAATACATTAACCTACACATGGTATAGATTATCTGGTTCTCTAAGGAGCTAAATAAGCCCAGCTCCCCCTTCCAGAGGCTTGCAGTTTTCATCTCTGCCAACAACTTAAGAAACTGCCACCCGAAAATTTTCCTGAATTTCCTTGCTTAAAGATAAGCTTAAAGGCCAAGGCTATTTTCACACGTGGATTATTTGTGCTTGGGTTCTTCTTTTTCCCTCCCTTCCCTTCAGCCACCCCATGCTGCAGCAGCCCAGCAAATGGTCCCATCTCACCTGTTCTCACCTGGGTACAGTGGCTCCCATTGTTTTGGGAGCACCCCTGGTCAGTGATGGAGGCGTTCGTGGGAATGATGCTGTTCACAGCAGAGGCAGAAGCCCTACACACCCACCTTTGGCTTTCCAAGACCCCCACCATACTTTCAGCAGCTCTCCATGGACCTGCCACAGTGTGCTCTCACCTTCATCACTCCTGACTGCCATCAGTCCTGCGCCCCTTCACCCCCTGAGCCCACCAACTCTCCTGTTTACAAGGCGAGTTCTGCTCTTGACTTAAATTGGAGGATGGAGTCCTACGCGAAGAGCAACAGCCCAACAGCAAAGTGTGAGAGTGGCACCTGCCTCTGGGCAGCTCAGGTGAGTCCTCCTCCCTTTGACACCAACAGCATTAATCCAGACCAACACAGTGACATTGAGAGCACCTTCCAGCCCTAAATCTGTTCCCAAAACACTTCTGTGCTGTACATCAGTACCTCTGTTAAATATCTCCTGCTTGTACAACACCACCAGGTAGTGGAGGGTTTGCTGGTTCCTCTGTCCACACAGCCCACCCTTCTGCTGCTGAAATGGTACCTGTGCCATGAGCTTACCAACCCGGGGAAGAACAAAGATTCCAGGATTCCAGGCTACACACGGATGTTTGTTGTGGGCTGCAGTACAGACACATTATAAAACAGCTCCAAACTGGCAGGATTTCTTCAAAACAACAACACTAACAGTATCCAAACAAACAGACCCTGAGTTATTAATGGGCTTTCCCAAGCTCTGAGTGGAAAAGCAGGGTGAGCCTGGGTGTGGGGCCACGGCAGGGAAGGGATGCAGGGCCATTGCTGGGAGTAGTCCCCTATGGCTGTTAAAGGAAACCCTATGGCTGTGTGACAGACCTCTGCCCCTCCTCCTGCCAGCCTGGCCTGGGGAGCACCCTCGTGGTGGGACAGCAGCCCTGGATGCCCTGCAGCTGGATGCACCAGTGGATGCTGCAGCCACGGCACAGCAGGGCATTGCTCCTCAAGCTGATAAAATAATGGGAGAGCTGACAGACTTCTGACAAGGGCATGGAGAGAGGACAAGGGGCAATGGCTTCCCAGTGACACAGGGCAGGGTTAGATTGGCTGCTAGGAAGAAATTTTTCCCTGTGTGGCTGGTGAGGCCCTGGAACAGGTTGCCCAGAGAAGCTGTGGCTGCCCTGTCCCTGGAAGTGTCCAAGGTCAGGTTGGACAGGGCTTGGAGCAACCTGGGAGAGTGGAGGGTGTTAGATGATCTTTAGGGTCCCTCCCAACCCAAACCATTCTAGGATCCTACCTTGGGGTGGTCCTGCACAGCCCGGACATGGGGAGGGACACCCGTGGGTGGGCAGCAGCTGCCTGGAGACAGGCTCTGCTTGGGGAACGCTAACTTGCTGCCTCAGGGTGGAAAAGGGGCTCCTAGAATCCCAAAAGCATGCAGTGGGATGTGAGCAGCCTCAGCCTGGGACATGCAGCACTGCCAGGGAGGCAGCATCAGTCTGCGGGAGTACAACTAACTGCAGCCTCTGCTCCAGAGAGCACATCTTCCCCAGGGGTCCTCCACTGACTTCAGCTTATTTCACATCTACTTGACCAATCTCACCTCTGCCGAGGGAGGTATCATCTCATTAGTACACAGACATATCTCAAGTATGCAGCGATGAATTCCCCCCAGAGCTTCAAAAGCAATCCATGTGACCTTTGCATGTTCCTGCCATAAAATACCAGGAACACCTCCAGCTCCCAAGATAGAAGCTGTGGTGGGCATATGTGAGCAGAATACACCATATGGATTAAGTCAAGGGAATACTTAGAAACTTCAACTCTGCCTTCAGCAAAATTGATTCCGACAACAATTTTAGCAATTTCTTCAGGATTTTCCGTGTGTTTATGAAGTGCCGATCTCTGCAAAGGGATCTTTCAGCCTTGCTCTTTGAAGTCTCTCTAGCCCTGCTCTTACAATGGCTTTGGATTTAGTGGAGATCACAAAATACAGCATAAAATGTTAATATAAAACCAAAAACTTACGGCACGGCTCCCATCTAAAAGGAAAGGCCTGTGCTGCCTGCAGTGGCATGGACATAAATCTGGCTCAGGGTTTCATTCAGCCCTCTTCAGACCCACTTTTTTTACAATCTCATATTGCAGCAGCAACAAATAAAACACTTAGGCATGCCTAAATACTGACTTCATCTCTAGCACACAGAGGTTCTTTAAACAGCACATTTCCACCAAGTACAGCAATAGCTCCTGAGGCATCTTACTGGGGGGTTTAAAACTATTTAAAGCTCTTTTATGTTTGAAAGTTTTGCTCTTCATGTAGAAGTTTTGCTTTTCACAGCAATTCCACCTAATTGGAAGAGGAATCAGCAGGCAGAACACAGAGAGATGGAGCTATCTGGAGGTTTATCTGATCCCAGTGATAAAATTCCATCCCTGGGGTGACCTAAAAAGGACTGGAAAAGGCATGTGCTACATGGATCCACGAAAGGAGAGCTGGATGATCTCATAGGTGTTTTCCAGCTCTCCTCCCCGCAGATCCTCAAGAGCCAGTCAGAGATCAGGATCCTTCTCTGTCATTAAATATTTTGGGAATGACATATTGTGCCCCTGGACTGCCCAGTGACAACAACTCAGCCAAACACCCAGGAGGAATTTAAACTTCTGCCTATCTCTTAAGGCTGGGAGATAACTCCTGACTCCTCTGAATGGAAGGGGAGGCTGCAGTTCTCCAGTTAAGTCACGTTAATGATCTCAGAGATTAGCAAAGCGGGTTTGGAAATCTCGGCGTGTCATTAATGTCAAGGGCTTCCGGGAGAAAGCACTATTTATGGACTGCCTTTGGACCAACCCAGGCCACAGCAATCCTCTCTCTTGGGTGGTGAAGGGCACCCAGATCCCACCCTGGCTTCTCCCATATGGGAAGCAGAGGAAGCAAAGCCTCTGCTCTGGCACAGCCCAGGAGGTGAGAAGCAACAGATGTGCTGCAACAACTTTCCTCTCTGAGCATCCAAACCCCACCACTCCCACGGGCAGGAAAATGCACCCCCCCAAAGAAGCCCACTGCCCCAAGACTCTGTGCTGGGCGTGGCTGCCATGGGGGGTGTGACTCTGACAAGGAGATGGAGGAAGAAGAACGGATTTTGCTCAGAATTGCAGAGGGTCAGTGGCAAAGCATGACCTGTGTCCTGACATGGATCCACGGGGATGCTGAGGTGTCAGCCCACCCAGAGCACCTGCACAGAGCAGGGCGACCAGGGGGTACTGCTGTGATGAAGCTCAAGCTCCCTTCCTAAACCCAACTGCCTCCCAAGGCAGTGCCACTGGAGAAGCTGCCTCTCTCTCCTGGCACATTTGGTTTGGGCCCAAAGGTGACGTGGGGACAGCAGCAGCCAGCTCCCATCTGGCCTGGGGCTGAGACCTTCCATCTAGCTCAACCTTTCATCAACACAAGAGCTCCATATCTGAAAGCCATTTATAGGACACTGCACTTGAAACCTAATACTTTGAAGAAATAATAAAGCGAGCCAAATTTAACCAAACTGAGCTGGAGAGGCCAAACCTCTGCCCACGACAGAGCTGAGGCTGCTAAGGCAAGACCAGCTAACAAGGGCAAAACTGACTGTGATTTGCAAGTGATGCTACAGGTTCCACAATGCTGAGATTATGGGAATTCCACTATACAGGATACCTATAACAGATAATCAGAGCAACTGTCAAAGCAGCCTCTGTAACTTTCCCAAGGTCATGGTAACAAAATTTACTTGTAAATCATGAGTACATCAGAAGAGAGACATCTTCCAAGATCAGGTAATGTGGTGGCCAACTTCTGAGCTGGTTTATGCTCCAGGCAAGCTCAGTGAAGTGCATCTTCCCTGCCTTCCTCCTGAATCTCACTGCAGCCCTCAGCCAGCTGCCTGTGAGACCGAGCACAACCCTCCTGCTCCACAGTGCACGATCCCATCTGCTCAAGCACTTAGTGACATACTCTGCCCCACCCTTGAAAGACCTTTGCCACTGCAAGGAATGCTTCATGCAGGCACCCTTCAGCCTTCACTGACCTCACAAGGTGAATGTTTTATTGAGGTGTTATTCTTACCTGCACAGCAGCAGCCACATCACAGCAACTCTTACCTAACAAGGACTGGAAAATCCCTCCATGGTCTGGCAGGACTACACACCCAGGGGTCTGTGCCAACAAATCTGCCCAGCAGACCATGCTAAGCACTTATTGCCAGTGGTCAAATTCCAAGCTCAGGTACTTGCACTCAACCAAAATGCACTAAAGGATTTGAAGAATGTGCAGTGATACAACAGCAGTGGTGCAGGCAATGTTATGCTGTGGTATTTAGAGATGCCTGGGAAAGGAGGCAGTCAGGACCAGTGTTTCTGAGATTTCTTCCTTAGGGCCTTCTGCCCCACATGATTACCCAAAAAGCCCAAAATGTCCACTCTGGGACACCCAGGCAAGGAAAAAAACAACTGCAATACTCACCCATCTCCTTGAGCTCCATATTAACAAGCTCCAACCAGCAGGCATCGAGCTCATCCAGGTCATAGCGGCTCATTCCTTGCAAGTAAGTCCTTGTGGCTTCTGAAATCTCAGAGCCAGGCAGGCTGCTTGGTGACACCTGTGAAAGGGAGCTCTCCAGCTGGGGTATGATCCTGGAAAGAAAGAAGGAGAGGCTGAAAAAGAGCTACAACTCACAAAAATTCTGTTCCTTGCCCCGGAGGGTGAGACCACGCCGTGTACAAACCCTACTCCAAGAATGAAAGCATCAAAGTCAAACCACGTGCACTGACAGTGGCCCCAGCACAGGTCCATGGCAACTTTCCTTCTACTACAGCAACAGTTTTCCCATTCACCTGCGGAAATTTAATCTTTACATGAGAAAAATGAGCTACAATGGATATGATGGTCCAAATACTGAGAGCAACAGTGACCCCCCCAGCCATTACCTCCCCCATGAACACCTCCAGCGTGCTGTGCCACTGCAGTGCCACATCCACACCGTGCTGAGCAGCACTTTGGCAGCCTTGGCACTGGAGGACATCCCACGGTGGCCTGTGACATTTGTTCTGAGTCTAATCACAACCACAGGGGTGGGGAGAGGAGTTTATCTGCTGCAAACTCCCTGCCCAGAGAGCGACCAGGCGCTGGCTGTCAGCTCTGCTGCCTTTCCTTGGCAACTCTGCAGCAATATGCCTGGTACTTGCCATGCACATGTCAACAGTGTCATGCCTAATGACATGCAAGCAGAGGGCAAGCTGGAAATGAGAAGCAGCCCGTGGTGCCAGCTGACAGATCTCGGCAAAGTTGGGAGCTGGAGCTCGCTGCAGTATTTGCACAGCTCACATTTCCTCCCACAAAATCCACCTCCTGGCACAGATACCGAGACAGAAAGATGCTGCAAAGAAACAACAACCAAATAGCAACCTGCTGCAGCACATCAACCCCTTCTAAGCAGCTTCTCCCCATGCAGAGCTGGAGGACCCAGTCCTGCTCTTGCACCAGAGCCAGCTGGGAAGGCCACTGATGCCTGCAAGACTTTTATCTTCCTTCTGTCCTGCTGTGTAAGTTAATGTCAGAGCACTGAGTGCCTCGTGCTCTGTGATGTGTCTGGGGCAAAGCCATCATGCCCATCACATAACCAGATGAATCGTGGTACCAGATGCTCCAAGGTCTCTAAGTGCCAAGGGAAGAAACTTGTGCCCAGCTGTCCTCAGGAATGGGATCCTACCTGCCTTGCCCAAGGTCAGGAAGGAAATCTGTGGCAGGGCAGGAAAAAGAACCTGGAGTTTCTACAGACCCAGGCATGCAGTTTAATTGCTGTCTTCCGCAGTTACAAACACTGGATGAGCTTCAGGAGCCACCAGCAGGAGAAGCAACAATTTGAAACATCAAGACATGGATTATTTTCATCTCTTTTGCTTTACTTTCCCCATCAGTAAACTGAAAATAAAGATGTGACCCAATGCCCTGAGTACATCTCCAAATTTCAGGTCAGGAAATGGAAATAATCCCATGAAAGGACAGCTCTCAGTCCCCACATCTTAAAACGAGCTCACTGTAATCTAGAACAGGTCTTAGGGATTCAGTAATGTCTGTATTTAATGCAGATGGAGTAATGACACTGAAACTAGGCATGCTCCAGCCAATGCCTCAGGACTGACATCTAAGGAGCTCCCAAACCCCTAAAATCATAGAATCACAGAATGGTTTGGGTTGGAAGGGACCTTAAAGATCATCCAGTTCCTCCTCCTCCTGCCACAGGCAGGGACACCTTCCACTAGCCCAGGTTGCTCCAAGCCCTGTCCAACCTTGCCCTGAGCACTTCCAGGGATGGGGCAGCCACGGCTTCTCTGGGCAACCCCTGCCAGGGCCTCCCCACCCTCAGAGGGAGGAATTTCTTTCTAATATATAATCTAAACCTGCCCTCTGTCAGTAGGAAGCCATTTCCCCTTGTCTAGCCTTTAGGCACTGGAAGATGCTATTAAAAAAAAAGCAGAAGCTGCTGGTGTAAGGTGTATTGGTTCACAGAGGACTGAACCTCCCCTTCCCACATCCAGCTCACCCCTGAACAGAAACAGGCCCTGGGAGGGTCAGCAGCCAGGCTGGACAACAAGGCTGTCTTACAGGAGAGACCTCAGAGCTGTTGAGAAAAAAACAATCCTCCAACTGCAATGGATGTTCTGGCTGGAAAGAGCTGCCTGAGCAGCACGAGGCCGGCCCTGTAAGCCTCCCCTAAGCCGAGTTACACAAGCTGCTCACCCAACAGGCGGCTGCAACAGGTGATGGTCTGACACCCGGCCAGCCCGGGATGCTCGGGATGGCAGCAGGAAGGAGCTGCTATTTTTACCCTGGCATAAAAGGGCAAAGATTAATGCTCTGTGTACATATCACAGGAGTATCCTGAGCAGGTCATTCACTGTACTGACAGCACTGCAATGCCCTCGGTGTGATAAGGATGCTGACGTGACTGGAGAAACTTCCTGGGGTTCTCACTGACACGGGACACACGACACCACTGAGAGCTGAGCACTGCACTCCCAGTGAGGGACACAGCACCTGCCTGAGCCTGGGCATGTCAGCTCCATGTGCAGCCTCCACCTTCTTTCTGCAGGTACCTTGCAAAGAAGGATCTTTGCTGAACCTGGTGCTCAGAGACGGGAGACAAGTGCCCCTCCCCAGTCATGCCTGCCCCGTGCTCCCAAACCTCTCCAAACCTGATGTGTGTAGACTCTCAGGTCCTGGCTTTGCACAGCCCCTGATGATGCAGAGACCACAGGGAGCTCAGGGGCTCACTGATGATAACAGCACCACCAGCCCTTGACGTCCAGCTTTTCCTGACACTAATTAAATGGAGTTTGCTTTGGTTTAATGGGAACTGGCACTTACAGAGTGATGCTTTGCTTCTCACCGTGTCACTGATGATGAAGATCAAGGTAATTAAGATACAAACATCTAACAAGCTCCACGTGCTCGCTGGCACTCTGTTCAAAGGTTTGAAACGTGCCAATGCAGAGATGGCAGGTGCCTCCCCCATCTGGGAACACACGGATCAGGGAGGGATGATCAGGTGCTGCAGCACTCAGCAGCCACTTTCCATTACTAGTTATTGGTCCTACAAGGAATAAGTATTAAGATGAAATGTATCTTCTTAAGAGAACCACTAAACTTTACTTTTGGAGTTTCCTCTCCATGGGCACGACCCCATGGCCCCACACTGATCAGGCAGCATGGGCTGGATTTCCAGTTAATTCAGGCTTGGGGATGCTGGGACACATCTGTGCCATATTCTCACCATTTCAAATATCAGCAAATGGGGGAGGTCAGAAATGAACAAACTGAAATAACTGCTTAATTATTTGTCATACAGTGAGCAGCTTGTATAACCCTACAGAGACCCGCTGGAAGCCTGGTCCAGACCAACCTCCTGACTCATCCACAGCACTTAAACAAGAGGTTTTCCTGGCTTGCAAACAATTCAGCAAATCCTATGAGAGGCTGTGCCTGCTCCCATGAGCATCTCCTCCCATCCCCAGGGGAGCTGGAGGTTGCCAGAAGCTGAGGCTCACATGGGACACCCCAAGCCTCTGGGAAGACTGAGCAGGATGTGATGCCCAGAGGTGCACAGCCTCCCATCAATTCCTGGATTTGCTTTAGTGGGTAAAATCATGTTCCTAAAAAGCAGCTCACTCCTTCCTGACACAAGTTAACACACCTGCAAAGAGCTTCTTGGTGTTCAGGTATAAAGATCAATGACTGCAGTGACAGTGCCTTGGGCTAGAAAGGAAGAGATCCTACAATTTAATACAAGAGAGCAATCCTTTGGAAAAGCCTGTGCCCTGCCTTACAGCAATACAGAAAACAGACCAAGCTGTGCAGCCCTCCTAAACTCCAACAGCACCAAGAAACTTAGCCCAAAAAGCTGCCAGCTTTGTGCTGCCCAGACACACTGCAGTGGACTCACAGCGAGAAAAAGGGAACAAACCACGGGGGCTGCCCTTAGCAGGGTCTCCTGCCCATCTCCTGTTGGGTCCTGAGAGCTGGGCATGTCATCAGGGCTCCAATTCCATGGAGGAAAAAGGTTTAATTCCTTTGGAAATACTTAAGTTTCCAAATAGTTGCTCAGTGGACAAAAAGAAACCCAGGCTGGGTGATGAGGAGTTTGCACACATGCCAGCAACCCACCCAAATTCCCTGCAGCATCAGGGTGAAGAATCATGGAGGCAAAGCCTCCACCAAGAGCCAAACCATTTGCAGGAGCTCCATCACACTGGAGGAGCATTCACTCCTTTATTTATCCAGCCAGAGACATGACATTTTAAAAAAAATCTGTACCAGTCAAAGGCTCATTTAAACGAAGGGCTGAAAATTGGGATCAGCCTGAAAAAGCACAACAAACCTGAGGCCATTAGTCTGAAAGTGGGTCTCAAGGGCACTTGAGGAAAAGGAGTAAGTGGACCCCAACACTCTTGAGGATCACATCCATCCCTGGAGAAGATTACACAGTAATAAAATATACTCAGCAAATTCCCATGGTTAATCATCTCTGTAAACTGAATGCTTCACTTGGCTGAAGGGAGAAGGCATTTTTTTCTATATGCTCTCTTTTAATATACTAGATAGAAATAATTAATCCTGCATAGTGTTTCTCATCTGAAAATACTTAATTTTATTACAGCAAAGGCTTTAGTCTGTCATCTTTTCTTTACCTCCATTCCAGTCTAAATTAGTCTTGCCCAGTGTCCATAAATAAATCAGCTTAGGAAAGTCAGTGGAAAGATAACTCTGCCAGCAACCTTCAGTGGATGCTGATACTGTTCCTACTGCCAGCTCTGCTCCCAGGGGAATTCTCCTGCAGCACACGACAACTTTAAAAGGCCAATTTAAAGGATGATTTTCACTTTCTGTTTATTAAAATAGTATCTAGCAGGTCATTTGGACCAGATGCCCCATCTTCTTATGAACTCAAGCTAACAAATTTTATAGATGGTACTGCTTCTCCATAGCAGAGCAGAATTTAAGATGTTAGGAAAAGAGCCTGGGGGTAATAAGGGTGAAGGATGGGGTTGGAGATAGTGGTGGATGGTCACAATAATGAGCTGCAACCCACACACAAGATTTTGTGACCCTCAGCGTGCCCACACCCGGATTTACT